AACTCGCCAGGCCTGGTGCGGGATCGGGGATGGTCTTCACCCGATCGGTGTTCCGCCCGGCCGGCCGGTTTACGGGACGAAGACCCGACCTCCTGGGAGCGCTTTACAGCGTTCGCTTCGCCGGCATTGGCATAATCTGTGACCCTTCGATGGGCCTCCTCATAAGTGGCCGGGGGATGTAAAATGAAATCTTGATATAAATACCCCGCCCGGAGAGAGATGTGTAGCATGTGGGTAGCGGTCGCATCGTCCATGGGCTCAACTTCCCCGACTGCCGCCTTCCACTTGATGAGGAAATCGGTCAAGCTCTCGCCTTCAAGTTGCTTGGCCTTCTCTAGATACATATAGGGCTTCCTCACGACTTTGGAAGTGATGAACTTCCTCACAAACTTGATCGCCAAGGTGTCAAATTTGTCGACCGAACCCGGCTGCAAGGTTCGGAACCATTCCGCCGCCCGACCGGTAAGCGTGGAATAGAAAGCCCTGCACATTACGGCGTCTGACACGCCCTTCAGCGTCATATTGCTGTAGAAGTCGTTAACGTGAGCCTCGGGGTCTGTCCGGCCATCATAACTTTTCTCTCCAGAGACCTTTAAATCAAGCGGGTAAGGCTGAGCCATCACCGCCGCTGTGAAAGGCGTCTGGTGTAGGGTCGGTTGGTCGACCGGGGGTGTTGCAGGGTGCGCGTTTCTGAATTGCGGAAACTCCGCCTAGAGGTTGTAGAGCAATCCTCGGGTTTCGTTGAGCTCGGCGGCTTGGGCAGCTTGGGCTGTATCCCGAGCGCGTCGCCGTCGGTGAGATCTCGACCCGCTATACCCAGATGATGCCTCCTGGCTGGCCTCCTGCATCTGTACGTCTTCTTGCTGGCGGTTCGGGTCTTGGGGTCCCAAACGCTGACGCATCTCCGGTCGAAGACAATCAAAAGCTGCCGCTCGGGCAATTTCTTCGGGGTCCTCCGCTTGGACGGGAACCTCGGCCGCTTGTTGGGCCTGCCCTGGTGCCTCCATCGCATCAGCAACCCCCGACCCCAACCGCGAACGAGCCGAGCGTCGAGCCCGGGAAACGGACTGACGCTGCGGCTCTACCTGTGCGGTCGGGTAAACTGGAGGGGCGGCGGCTGGAGCCGTGTAAGCAGGCGTATATGGTGGATACCCAACCGGGGGAGTATAGTACATCGGTTGGCCAGGCGAATACCCGTACGGTGGAGGTGGGACCGGGTATGGATATTGGCCGGGATACATCACCGGCTGTTGCTGATACGGCTGACCGGGTGTTGGGTATCCCGGTTGAATGTAGTTCACCGGCTGTTGGGCAACCGGGTATGTGTTAGACGGATGCGGTGGTGAGAGATTAAGATTCAGATCCACCGTCTGACCTTGCTGTTGGGTAGCATGGTGCTCAGATGAACTTGCTGCATCCGCCTGGTCGTCGGCGAAGTTGTTGTAAGCCCACGGATACATGATTGCAAAGAGACCGGGTGCTCGTCAAGACGTTGCTTTCTCGCACGGGTCCCCACAGACGGCGCCAAAATGATACTGCTAATTCTACGTAAGCAATATAAAATAAATCCGAGACCAATTAAAGCAAGTAAAAATCTTTATTGATCACGGTAAAGGCCCTAAGTACAATCTACTTGGTTGCTCTGAGTGCCGACTGACTGCGGTTGGGATTCTCTAGTAACAACCTATCGATCGTCCAAAAGTCCTCTACACTGTAGCTACTGTGGGTATTTATAGCCGCTGCGCCGGAGACACAAATCCGGTCGTTCGGCATGCTCTCCACGTAGCCACCACGTGTCATCCTCCCGGGTGCCCTATCTGTCGCCACAGAGAGCCACCATGTGTCCTTTATCAGCTCCCTCGCCAAAGGGCTACCGCTCGGTGGTTGACATTATCGCTCGGGCAATTCCCGGTCGCTTCCCGACCGGGTTCTTCATAAAGAGCCCGACCTGCTACCTGCAAAGACAAAAAGACAAAGACAAAGGCACCTCGGTCGTGGTAGAGCTATGGCGGTCGGGATATTCCCTACCAAATATGTATCCAATCTACTAATGTCAGATTTAGAATATCTCATCCAAAATCTCAGGAGTACGAATCCAATCCAATCCGATTACAAATTTGGCAGATTAGATGCAAATTGAATGAAGGATTTTAAGTAAAAAAGTTGAACTATAATATCCAACTTAACAATAAATTAGAAGTTAAAATTTTAAAAATTGAGAAAATAGTTTACTGTGTTGAAATTCTTTTATAGTCAAACAATAATACAGTTATTAAAGAATTTTTCAGTTGAAAAACAAAAATTCATATTCAATCTGCTAGTAATGGATTCCACTAAGTGAGTTCACATTCATCCAATATTAACAGATATCGATTAGATGTGAGTGAGCTTAGTGGACGAGAGCGGATTTGGTGAGTCCGTAAGTACCCCTACTTAGAGCATCCTTATCAGTTGGGGTTATTGGGGGGAGAATGTAAGAGTGAGTAGGAAATAGAATAATGTGGGAGGGGAGGGAAAAAAAAAATCAAAACTGATTTTATAAAAAAAATTATATAAAAAATAAGCATGTCATTTCTCTATTGGTTCTTTATCCTTCATCATTAATTATTTTTCTTGGGCAGAGTAATATCCCAATATTTGCAGATGCTCCCCACCCCTTCTCTCTCTTGATTCTCTCTCTGCCACCATGGCATTTTGGCCTCAAAAGTAGTGAATTTTCCCCTATTTCTCTTCTGATGTAGATGCTCTTATTATTAAGGGACAAAAATATAGTTTAAGCAAAGATTGGATTACATTGATTTATCTAAAAATTGAGAATCACAAGTAATTAATCAGTTGAAAAAAAAAAAAGAAGAAGCCTTGCTGCATAATAATTGCTCATTGGAATCTAAAATCAAAATCATGACTCATATTATAAGATAAGATTCTTGAGCAGTGCCACCCGTGGCGCAAGATTATGGTAATGAATGTGTAAATGAGACGAATGAGTAGAAACTAGAAACAGCAACAACCGTTTGGGATTCAGTGTACGGAAAAAGTTAAATCGAAGCAGGTGATTAGTAGCTGATAGCATGTGGTGTAGGTGGGAGATTTGTTGTTTTTTTTTTTTTGAAATAAAAAAAAAAAAAAAAAAACAAACAAATCTCCCACCTACACCACATGCTACTAATCACCTGCTTAATGCTACTAATCACCTGCTTAATGATGTAACGGCAGTGGCGGATCCAGGAATTTTTTTCAACGGGAGCAAAATATTAAAGGAAAACTGATAATTAGAAAAAAAATGAAACACTTAAAAAGTATAACCATAAATAATGTTGGATATAGGAAAATTATAAAACACATCAAAACATTATAAAAATATTCATAACAAAATATGAATATACTCAATTTGATAAAATAATTTGAATAAAAGATCCATTATAAATTACACATCTCATCTCATTATTAATATCAATGAAGATTATATTATTGTGTTGAAGCCATATGCACTATTAATAATCTTGAAAATGTGAAATAATGTGAAAAGATAGTGTTAATGGTGAAAATGTTAAATAAAATGTCAAAAAAAATGAAAACAGACCACACGCTCAGCCACAGATTCAAACCCTGCCTACCTTTAAGCCAACCATGCGCTCTGCCAACTAGGCTAAGTCACATTCTGTTATCATTCCTGACATTAACCCTTAACTTGCAGGACAAATATCTCCCCAAATAACTCCACCCCACATTTGTTATTATCCCCACCCAAGATAGTTCATCTGACATTATCTCCCTAATATCCACTGATGTGGATGCTCTAATCTATATATTGTAGATCAATAATAATAATAATAATAATAATAATAATAATAATAGTAAATTTAAATTTATCGGCTCCGCCGTTCAGCTCATATTCTCTTTATTACTTTAAATCTAAGTCCTTGTTACCTGCTTCATCAACAAAATCGTTCGATTTATGCAAAATGAGCTGACACCGCTATATTTTTGTGTTTATTATTAATTTTTTTAGAAAAAATAGAATTAAAAACCAAAATGTATTTGTATTTAACGGCATTACAATGGTTTTGTTGATAGATGACTAAAAATGGTCATATGTCACAATAAGACCAAATATGAATATTCTAATAAAAAAAATTACAAATAGACTGTCACATATAAATCTAAAATTAAAAATAGAATTAACTCCTTTCATAATAACAGTCGTAGTTTAAACAAAATTTATCCATGGGCAATTTTAATTTTTTTTTCATAAAAACAGGGGATAGAATTTTTTTTAAAGTTATAATTTCCTTTAGGTCATAAGGTAGCCTAAAAATTTTGAAATCTTTATTTACCGAGATGAAGGTCATGCACAATACGGAGCGTGTGAAGACCAGACTTCAATGGGCAGACGAGTTTTTATGTATGTACTCTTCAATGAGATTGGGCATGAACAAAGTCTTAGGGGGTTCACGAAATTTGATAGTATCGCAAGAAATGCTAGATTTCTGTATTTAGTTTAAAATTAAGGTATGTAATATAAATTTACTTATTTGAAGAGTTAATTTTTGTAGTATGATGGGGTTATCCTATTTTTATGTATAAATTTTAAAATTTAAAATTAAAATAAATAAATAAAATAATTATAAAATATAAAAATAAATAATTTAAAATTAATTAACTAAGAGTTTGAACAATAGATTAAAAAATAACAAAATTAGCAATAAAACAAAAGAATGTGAAAATACCTAAGAAAAAGAATATCTCACATTCCCTTACAATAGTTAAAACTTTATGTAGAGATTATATTACTTTTCCAAGGAAAAATTGCATAACTTAATCAAACATGAGAATCTTATATTCCTAAGTAAATATAACCTTGATTATCTTATATAACCTGAGCCAAACCCCCCCTTAATGCATTTTCAAATTTCTTTACCATTACAGTATCACATCCATGTTCCTGTTCATTATTCAGAGAAGAAACGTTTAGGTCTATCATGCTTGGCACTTGGCAGTTACCAAAGAAGACGGCTACTTCAAAATATCAAACTGAGTTGCCTTTAACAGCCCCAAATTTATCACAAATTTATTAATGGGGGCTGATGAAAATTCAAAATTATGGCTATTACAACAAAAGCGTGAAAAAAAATATTACGCCGTAATTAATACTACGACTATGCACAATTTTGCTATGTTACAATAAATAATTAAATGCTTCTATATCCCCTAATACTGCTTACCTGGAGTAAAAATTAACAAGTGTTTGCCTTGGTTTGTATTTCATGAAGAAATTTGCTAACCTTGAACCAATGAGAAAATGCTCTCTGAAATAATCTTCTTGCTTGCCAGCCAACAACTGACAGCAGAAATTGCAAGTTATTGCTCAATTGAACGCAGTTCCCACTTGCCCTCCCCATCAATCAACCGCAACTCCGATGAATGGAATGGTATCAACGCAGGACGCTGAACAGAGGAAAGAAATTGCACGCCAGGTATGCATTAGTAAAGGCATCAAAAACAAGAAATGGTACACAAGCATGTGCAGCTGGTAAAATTGTAAGCCAAAACTGCCACATATTTAGTTTGTAATTGAATAAACATATGAACTCAACATCTATGATGCATTGAAACCCCAAAGTGTTTTAGGACCGTTTTCATTATTTTGAAAAAAGTTTCATAGTGAGTTTCAGGGGTCTAAATTGAAGAAGAAACAAAATTTTGGAATCAAAAGAAATGCAAGTTCTTATTCTTTAATCTTTACTACAACCTCTATAAGGTATTCTGTTTAATTATGAAACTAGTGAACAATACTTTACATACTTGAGGCAAAAAACCATTTGCAAATATATTACTATATTTTTTATATTTATTATTTGCACATTTCTCCCGCATGTCATGCCCTACATTTTTAAAATTGCTAATTCTCAGTGTCTCATATTTGGTTTCAATGCTACCTAATTCAATATTCATCAAGCTGTTCATACATACCTGAGAAGATGTAACAACTGTGATGCCACTGTCCTTTGCGAGCCTATAAAGGTGCTCCTCGACATCCACACTTGTAGCACTGCAATTAGAAAGAAGAAAAATGCCATATACCATGAGTTCTTGAACACCTCTTTTCATCACAACAAATGAATTAGATAAAAGTTTGTTGCTTACTTGGTGCATTCATCAAGTATTCCAAATCGTGGCTTGTGAAAGAACAACCGTGCCTTGCATTGCACCAAAAAACATTTAAAAATAAATAAAAATCAGCTGGTAATAGACATTAAAAAAAATAAAAGAAAATAAAAACATTCGGTAAATTGAAGTATTACTCTCATGTGAGACCATAGTGACCATACTAATTAACATATAGCTCACCATTCCCAATCTCTGTTGTTCTCCAAGGGATAAAATGTCTTCCCAGTTCTGGTTTGTATCCCAACCACCTTCTCTTTCCAAAAGATAGAGTAGTTTAACACGCTCTAGAATAGTCTTCAGATAAGAATCAAGAATTTCCTGGGATCCAGTAGACTTTTGATCTGACATTCAGGAAAGAAGTAATACAAGTTTATTTTGAAGGGTGGTCAGCATGACAAGTTAATATTCCATTATTCCGTATATTTTCACAAAGGAAAATGCAACACTTCAGATTTTGGGTGATGTTTTATTGGTTAAATGAACATGGACCGACTGACTCTGGGAAATATGGTAATGGGAGAATTCAACAGAGATATAGTACATACCATCCATTATCAAGGCTAATGCTCTTCTCTTTGCTTCTTCGCGTGACAGAGGATATATAATTTGATCCCTTAGAGTTCCTAAGCATGTATACGGTCGCTGGGGAACATAAAATACACCACATCCAAATCCTGAATTAAGTTGTTGGTCTGGTCTAACAAGGCTTCCACTAACCACTGGCCATAAACCACGGAGTACTCGGAAGATGGAACTCTTTCCACTTCCATTAGGACCTTCAAGAAGGAATCTTCTCAGGTATAGGCACGACTATGCAATACAAAATGAAATGACAAATGTTAATCACTAACCAGTCACAAGAAGGCTTTTCCCTGGCATTATATCACATGTCAGTTTCCTCGCCAAGAGTTTTTGTGCTGGTGTAATAATATTCATTCCAGAGAAAGAAATAACATCCTCAGAGGAGGATGGTGATGAGGGAACACCAGCAGGTTCATCTGCATGAGAATTAACATTATGAGGACCATTCTTATATGGTTCTTGAAATAGCATTCTGATTCTGAAAACACAAATAGAGCGTTTATAGGTCTAGCCAATTAATTAAATCACACTTGGGACCATTGGATAGGTGAAGACAAATTAGCTTAGTACCGCTACCATCACCCACATAAAAAGAAAACGATATTTTAACTCTATAAAAATCAATGTTCTAATTTGTAGTGAAACAATTATTCGCTTCTGACAAGAAAAAAAAAATACTTTTAGCTCTCATTTGTGAAATGTTAGCATATCAAGGTTTATATTTCAAGGTTTTATAGATGGGAATCCTTTAAAGACAAAGATTACATCCTAGTTAAAGCAGTAGATAGGACATCCAAAGTTCCAAACACCAGTCATTGAAAACTACTGATTGCATGGACTAAGTTTCAAACAAGTGCAGAATAAGTATTATGCACTCTGATAGAGTAGCTGAATACAATTTCACTCTTTAAGTTCTGCAAATCAATAAATCCTTTCCAACATTTGCAATCATCACTTAATTCACCTTCCATCATTATGCTCCACATATATCATTCCTTCCCTCGAACAAATTGTGTTTACTTCATTCCAAGATACAAAGCATGAGGAAAGCTATCATTAGCATAAGCTTTCCTGTTTTGCTTCATACTAAGGTTTCAGATGTACCTACCATTACCATAAATTTCCCAGGACACAACTGATGTTGGTTTATAATCCGTACAGAATATTACAAGCTGTGTGTTTGTATGTATGTATAATTGTATATGCTTGTTAGGTCTAAGTTCAAACTTCAAAAAGTCAACCATATTTCCCAAGAAGTCTGCAAAACATTTTGATATTGCTAAATAGCAATCAACTTCATACTAAAAGAGCAATAAAATTTTGTTTGGAAATCACAAGCAGCACTTTAGGTAAGGATGCTGAAAGCGATGATAATTTCATCAACCATTAAAAGGAACTGAAGCAATAAAGTTATGGAAATCAGGCAACATACCATTTTGAGCAGCATCTAGAAGCTCTTCCAGCTCAAAAATTCTATTGATGCCACCAGAAAGTTCAACAAACTTTCTATGCAGCTCAAGAATGTCTCCAAAAGCTAAAAAGCTTTGAGATACAACAGAAGCTAAGAATCGCAGTGCATGTGCCAACTCACCTAAAGCAATGCATTAGAGCAGAAATTAAAATAAATAATGAGATTAAATCAATACAATTACACAGCCAGTGCAAGTAATCACCTTGAGTTGAAGTCAAAGCACGATTACCCTTGTGCTCGACAGCATACAATAGACTCAATCCCCATGTAACATTATGGGGAAGTTGTTTTGTGATAAACTCATCTATTATACCAAAAAGCCATTTCTTCTTTAGAAGCAATGCAGAGTGATGAAGAAGTTCCTTAAATCTTGATTCAACCATCTGTGAGTTCATGAAGCATTGGTATAACGATATTAGACATTGCACTAACAAAAGACAACAGAGGACACCAAGAAGATCATAAACATTGTATAAACTGCATTGATGCATGGTCCTCACATATCCTGACATGCATGGTGATCATAAAAATAATAATAATAATAAATTCCATGTACTAAATACTAGTCCCTCTATCCCACATAATTTGTCCTACTTTCCTTTTAGACCATTCCAACATAATATCCACTTTCCTAATTTGAACACAACAAATATTTTACTTTTCCCAATTTATCCTATATTCCTTTTAACTTTTCTATGTGAGCCACAATTCACCTATTTTTAGAAGGGAAAATTTTGGAAAGGATATCACATCTTATTTGTTTTCTTAAAAATTATGCCAAAACAATTACCCATCACAAAACGAGATGGAGGGATTTTAATTTTTTTTTTAAAACCCTGTTACAACTCTAGGATTTTCATAAAATATGTAATGCATGCAGAATTCTCAGTATGTCATATTTAGTATTTAACAAAGATTTAAAATATAGATCAAAAGTTGCAACTAAATTTTTTTTTACATCTAGACAAACAAAGCAAAAGAGAATCATTGTGAAATTCAGTGATGTCACCTCCTTTTCTCGGGTACCACCTCCAAAGAAAGCAACAGATTCAGCATGTGTACGCAATCTCTCGTGCATAAACCTAATCATCAGGCCATCCAGACATAGTTAATAGAACTGTATCTAAATGCAGTCATATGAAAAGAATCAGGAACTGGTCACATCACCTAAAGGTTCCTTCTAGCTGTTGTTCATGACTTGATAGGTCACCAAACTCAGGAGTTACACACCTCAGAAAACCTAAACCTAAAAACATGTAAGCATATAATATAGCAACTCCCCGTCGACCAGTTAAAAGCTTCATTCTCCATGTGAACCTGCACAGTTGCAGCACTCATCAACATCTAGAAGCTATTGTTACTACTAAAGAGCCAAGGTATAACATATGTACTTACCATAAGATGTCTACAGTTGGCTTCACCATTCCAGTAACCAGACTAGACAAGTCAGTGGTTAGCTTGTCAAGATCTTGAGTCAATCTTTGATCAGCATCAATGTTGACCCTTGACATGTTAAATACCTAATATATCCATTTGAAGTTATTTTGGTCAACACATTAACAAGGTATAGAGGAGGGTATTGATTAATGCCCACTTGACATATGAAAGTGACCAGTCAAAACCTTAAGAACATTCATTCAAATACATAGTAATACTTAATCCTGTAAAAACCCCAAATAAGAGTAGATCATAAGTACCAATTGCATCGATGTAAAACAACCCCATAAAGTAGGCAAAAATTATCAAATATCAGTTGCATTCAACTGAATTAAATGATTACAGAGGTAATATGAAATAGGCAGAAGAAATATTGAAGTGGAAGTTAACTACTACTATTTTATTTGAGAAGAAAAGCCATGACTTCCAACAAACAGCAAACCTAACCAAGTGGAACTATATTGCAGAATTTCAGGTTTCATTAGAACTGTACTAATTGAACTTATCAAAATAAGAATTTGAGATCCTATTCATACTTCATATCATAGTTTACAAAACTGGAACTCTTGAAAGAGAAAAAAGATCAACTCAAACAATGAACGATTTTCTCTAGTTATTGGACTAGCTAGTTACCTTGTAATATGCATTCTTTCTTAAATAGTTCTTCAGTAAGTGTTTAGTCAGACGGATCCTCCATCCAAGAGCCAGCAATGATGTCAAGTTTCTGCAAAAGATAACATTTAAATCAATATACAGCCAGTAACTGCCCTCAAGTAGGGCCAAAATTTTGTTCCCTTTTTTTGGTACGCATCTAACCTTTAGGGATATTGCAGAATTTCAGGTTTCATTAAAAGTATGCTTTCATTGAAAAACTTAAAATAGTTTAATTCAAATCTCTGACCTTAGGACTAGGAAGACTCACATTGTTACATGCCAACGATCATTAGTCACAGGGCCAAAATCAGAATATTTAACCAAAAAGTCTAAAATTTAACCACTTCCAGATCTACAAATACCTCAAAGATGGTGCAATGAAAGAAGAGGCCGCACTTTGAAGGACACTGACACCAATTAGTCGAATAAATGCCACCTTATCTTGCTCCAGAACATACCTCACAGTTGTTCCTAGGTAAATCAATAGGTTGATGATAAATAACTTTAATGAAGCAAAAGAAAAAGACAGGAAAAAGGCAAACAATGAAGAGTAAGTTACCATTTAAAGAGGCAATGCGATCAGAAATCCAAGTTCTAGACAAGACAAGTAAAGCAACTGATAAAAGTTGAACGCCCTGTTTATCCAACATTGTTGGGACCTAAATAACCATAAGAAAAGGTCAAACTGAAGCAAATAGAGAACATCAAAATGCAGTTCAGACTTCAGAGAAATTGTTCATCATTGTAATGCAGAATATCAATACAGTTACTGTCCATTATTTCAATGATGATTTCACATAGAACTTATTCCCATTTGATGTGGTAACTTATTAGTCTGCATTACATTCAAAATGTGAATTTAATAATAACTAGAACACAAAAGTTGTTTTTCTTTTCCAATTAAGAGTAACAAGGTAACACGGACCTTAAATCAAGAAGAGGCACACAAATAAAGATCCCCAATGCTAAGATTTGGATAGGTAGATTTTGATATTAGAGAACTAACAGGCAATGAAAAATATAGGTAGGTTTTGTTATCCAAAGAAAGAGTTTTCACAGAAAAACTATTATAAAAATAAATCAATAAATGATTAAACAAATTTAGGTGCTCTTTTTTTTTTTTCATATATAGTTTTTGTAATAAATGTCAGATACTCTTTCTTAAAAAACTCCAACAAGTACGGCCATTAACAGAAACGATACATGTTTTCTGTTTCTATTTAATTCGTCATTATGCAGCAGACACTCTATACAGGGATTATCATTGGCTGTAAGGCTTCTGAAGTCCAAAACCATATGTATCAAGTTTATATCACACACTGGCTATCCTGCCAACATTGCACTCACCAGTATTTTACACATAGCAGCAACTCTCACAGGTAATTTCCTTGGAACGCTTTTAAGTTGGGGAAATACAGGAAACTTGGAATTATCATCTGCTGGAGGAGATGCCGCTAACAACTCTGAAAAGTATGATTCATCTTGTGAACTTGAAAATGTCATATCCTGTGGACAATGGCAACAAGCATAAAATCATGTTAAACAAATTCGATTAAAAAAAAAAAAAAAAAACTAAATAATGTCATAATGATGTGGAATAAGTGCCCCAGACCTGTTTTGTGTTTGCAAATGCACGCTGAACAGTCATTGCATCACTTTGACGCTCAGCATCAGAAAGCTTCTTTCTACCAAACTCAGCATGCTTCTTATTATTGAACTCATGCTCATTATGAGAAGGAGAATCTGCCCTGGAAATTTCCAAAACTACAATAGATAAATACACAGTTTACATTATTATAAATTTAAGATAAATTTACAATTTTGACTTCTGAAGACCTACCTCTTGTGGTGTACAGTCCAACCCCCTTCACCATCCAAGGACAAGACCAGATCATGAAATGCAACCAGAGCAGGGCGATGAGATATAGTTATACAAGATGTTCCCATTGCTCTTACTTTAGCACAAAAACGGCTTTCCATATCCGTTGTCACAGCACTAGTACACTCATCAAGAATCGCAAATTTGGGTTTATGGTAGAAAAGCCTGGCCATTCCCAATCTCTGCTGCTCACCTAGAGATAACTCATCACCCCAATTTACCTCTTTTTCAGGTGGGTAACGGTCCAATAGATACTCAAGATCAACCTAGAATGACAAAGAAATTATCACAAATGTTGAACCTGATATTAATCAGATCAATCTGTTTTAACCCATCAAGCAGACTTACATTTTTAAGTAGTTCAACCATTCCACTATGTGTGAGAGGTTCAACCTCCTGATCAGAAGTAAGAGGATATATTATCTGATCACGGAGTGTCCCTATAGCTGTATATGGCCGTTGAGGTACATAAAAGATCTCCTTGTTAAGTTCAGAACCAAATCCAGGTTTTGCAATATGGCCAGAAACAAGAGGCCAAAGGCCCCCCAAAACTCGAAAAAGTGAGCTTTTGCCACTACCATTTGGACCTACAAAATTAAAATGCCAAGTTATAACTGCATTTCTACACCAGCAAATGTATAAGAAGAACAATATCATACACCCCTGAAACAGGTAATGGAAAGTCTGTCTGCCCATGGTGATGTTGAAAACAATTATATAGTTTGCTATAAATAAAACAGGAACTTCATGCATATTTGTGAATATTTCTAGAAAGGACTTTTTTATGAACAATTATATTTGTGACACAACCAGTCCCAAATTTGAACATGGTCCCAGAAGTACTCCATAAATGATTGGGCTAATTTTGGATGAGTTTATATTCAGCTTATCTCTACTACTTTCACTTAGCTGATTCTTAATATGTTAGGATGGGATTACAAAAGGAGCTATTGGCCTTTGAAAAGCTGGTTTGAGCTTAATTCCATAAGCTATTTCAAAAGGTTTAGCATAATAATCTTGAAAATTAGCTTTTTCATAAGCTAGTTGAAATGGCAAACTCATAAACTGTTAGGGTTGGGTGTCAGGTCAGAGATCAGCTACCATAATAAAAAAATAATATTAATTTTTTTAAAAATGAATTTTAGATATAAAAATCTGAATCAAAATAAATTTTGAGATTTCAGTATGAAATATCAGAATTTCTAACAACAAATAAAATAATAACAATAACAAGAAGACGTCAAGAACAACAACTACTACTACTTTGCTACCTGCCTACAGGCCCAAAAATTGGAAGTAATTGTTCAGTTCAAATTCCAGCAAATAAGGCTCGTTGCCACATTAGGGGGTAAGTCAAATTGGCAAACCTTCAACGAAGGCAACATTTTCACTTTCACAAATATATTTCTTGAAAATAAGTCTTTGAACCAGAAATATTTTTGGACTACTAATATTTATTTATTGAACCACATTAGGGTATAACATTTTCATTTTCACAAAATACTTATCTTGAACAACTAATATATGTTCTTATAATCTTATTCCCTCTTCATCTTGGGTGATAAATCCAACACTTCAAGCAAGCTTTGATTCTCCACAACCCGGTTCACAGTTCCGTCCCAACGATATCATTCACCCTCTTGTAACACACTAACTCTTGTTCAAAATAATTGAATTTATCCATGCATTACTTAGGAGGCACATAAACCAGCCATCCCACATTCACACCCTCTCCATCATTGCCTGTAACACTGCTTTCCCGTTCCCTTTCTTCTGTATAACTCACTGCCCTACTTATTCCTGGTTGGATCATTATTATTCCCCTCAGATCCAACTTCATCACTAATATAATCAACAGCACAACCATATTATCAATACATTTCATATTCTACCAAGGAAGCAATGTAGTGTGAGGGTCTGGCCCCTGAGTCCTCAACAGAGATGAGGACTTGAGGATGTAAGGCTAGAGCCTCAGAGCACAGAGATGTGAAGCTAGAAGAGAATGAGTAAAAAGTTTCAGCCCAGATGCGTTTGTTTTGGGGGGGAGGGGGGGAAGAGAAGAAAAAGAATCCTAACTAAACTAAGCTAATTTCATTGGTTACATATGTTTTTTGCCTAGCCCTAGCAGCTGTGAGCATATATAACAGCCCTAATCCATATTTATTTAAGTTGTTTACCCAAAAGGAAACATCAAACTATTACCTGTTATTAAAAGGTTGGACCCGGATTCAACTCTTAAGCTCAAGTCCTCCACTAATACATTTCCAGTTGGCGTAACAACCTAGAGGGTACCAAACTCATTATGAACACAACAAATGCATCATAATCAATTCAAAACTGAAAATTCAAAGACAATTTTCTCACCTTAACATCATCGAATTCAATGTAGTTTGCTTCACTAACAAAATTCCTACCCCCATTAGTTTGCAGTGTAGATACATCATGGGCACCTAGCTCTCGTGAAATCACCATGAGTTCATGAATACGATCTGCATAGCCACTGCAAAATAGCGAAGTGTGTATAAAAATAGCCACAGCGAGCAACTACGCCATATCATACAAACAGTAATGAGTATTCTCTCAATAACTAACAAAGCCCATACGTTATGAACAAAAGTCATAGATAGTGCATAAGGTCTCATCTCACAAGATGTAGCCTATAGAAGGAAGATCTACAAGATCTGACATCTATTTTCAAAGATTTGATCTCATTGTGCCTAATAGGTGAGCACTTGACCACTACACCAAAGTGACCAAACCCTGAGTTCACATATAGCTATCAATCCTCTACTATATTCTTCAAAACAGAAGTGGTGCTGAGGAATAGGATTGCATGTACTATAAAAGAAATTAAAACAAATCAAGCCTAAGTTATGACAATCTACCATTCCCAAAACCATCTACAGATTCCTTGAAGTTGATGATGTCATTAATAAAAACCAACAACTTTCTTTATGCAAAAACTTGAACTAGGACAAATACCCTCCAGGATCCTTTCACTTTAACTTTCTCCTCAGGAAAAACATGTTTCAACATACTTTACGAAGTAAGACAAACTATCCACTGAGTTATGTTTTATCGAAATAATTGTAATAATATAGAGATCCCTGTTCCAGGTCTTCCATGTTCTACATTCGTACTAAACCATGCTCCCACTTCATAAACAAAGGTGATCTATGTATTAGGTGAAGTCCAAAAATAATTATGTTATTAACTGACTAAATAAAATGAAGTGAAAAATCAAACTTAATGTGTAAGGTGTGGTGCCAACTCCTAAGATCAAGAAGTACCCACCTGCACTACACGTTTGAACACTTAGAATACCCTTCAATAAATTTCTAGGGAATGTGGCCAAATTTCCCTCCAAATGAAGATTTAAAAAGTAATCAAGCAATACCTTAGACGATTAAGTCGTCTTGAACTAATTGCAAGCGTTCCAAGGGCCTGGAATAAAGATATTATGACACTGGTATGATATCTCAGATTACTCAACATCTCTGCTCTTCCTAATGTTGACGCATCTGGTCTCAGGTGTCCAGAAAAAAAGGGCTCAATTATCAGGACAACAGCAACAGTAGCACCAAGATACTTGTGCAAAAAATCCTGAATCATGCCAAACCACCAGTGCTCATGAAGCACAACCCTCAAATGCCGAACAAGAGACTTAAACTTCTGTTGAATGTGAAAATCTTCCCTTTTTTCACCACCATAAAATGCAATGCTTTCCGCATGTGTCCTTAATCGTGAGTGAAGCTGCCTGTACTCTCCTTCCAGTTGCTGTTCTTTTGACATCAGCTTACCAAATGCGGGAGAAAGATTTTTTATTGCAACCCCAGCCCCAAAAACATAGGCCTGTAAGAAAACATCAAATTAAAAATCCATTAAAGTTTAAAATTTCAAATAAGAAATTAATTTCAGTCGGGTATCTTAAAACTTGAAAAGCAAATTAAATGAGTTTCCTGCATGAACCCAGTGTAGGGATTAAGGCAGTACCAATATCCAGAACAAATATTTTGGGCTTGCATATGAACACAAACGCCAAGTATACAGTATTCCATCAGCAACAGCAACAAGATCCTCCTGTATAAGGTCACTCAGCTCTGAACAGAACTTTGGTACATCACTTGCAATTCTTTGTTCAGGGTTCGTTATGCGACCATCGACATGAGATAGTTTGTAGTATACCATATCCTGGAATTTAAATGGAGAACTAATAAACATCAAAGCTTGAATGGCAAAAGTGAATGCCTAATACTTGAATGCAAATATTCATTAAAATATAATACAGATATTTAGTTGTACATAACTGCAATCAAAGAAATTTTGAACTTACATCTCATTATTGTTTGTTTACTTTATAACAAAAAGAAGAAGAATTTAAAGCCATTTACAGATGTTAACCCATAATAACAAGTGTAAACATTAGCAGGATAGAGAAGCCCTGGTCAAAAGTACAGAATAAGTAATTGAGCTAACTAAACTGTAAGTCACCATCCAGTAGTATATCTACCTGAAAATATTGTGCATGGATAAGCCTTGTCAATATTTTTCGAAATCGCAAACTTAAGGTTCCTGTTATGTACTTTGAGGTAGAATGCAAGGCTGACTGGAGGAAACACAATAAAATGTTTTCAAAAATGAGGCGGAAGAACAACGGCACACGTCGAAGGAAAGCAGCACGAAAAAGAAAACCCTGAACTTTTGCTAATCTATTGCTCACAGCAGTTCGTAATACCTGCAAAAACAAAAGCACATATTAGCATAAAAGCTCTAATCACTGAAACTGCATAGAAGTTTTTGTTAAAAGAAATGAGAATATTTTCACAACTTTGTTGGCTTCCTCTTGAAAGTCACATGACCACAGACACAACACTGCCAACACACAGTAACCAGTATATAACATTAAATAAGATGTTTAAAAACTACTCAAAAAGGATGTGAATGAAACTTCCATTAGCATTGCAACCAAATGCTCTTTAGGTGAATTTCTAATCCCAATCTTATTTAGAATCAATAGTATGACAATAATTCTATGAATGTCAAGACTATTCCAGTACATGGCTTGTGTGGAAGTGAAGAAGCTCACCACTGTGACTATCAAAGCTAAAAGGTCTCTGGTGCCCAAGCTACTCATTCGAGATAAAAGAATTGCTGCTAAAACCTTCAAGGACCTCAGTCCTCCTTTCTTTTGCCTGCTTTTCTTCACAATACTATCACTCATTCCAACAGATGTATTCAACTCTACATCACCACTGGGACCATCATACTGGTCTATGGAACTTTGATTCTTAAGGCTCTTCCGTGATTGCATGTATGCAGCAGCTGAGCCACCGGCAACAACAATACCAGTTGCAAGCAATAAAGTTTTTCTGTGAAACAACAAAAGAACAGTTAACACAGGTTGCACTTACATATCACCAAGATAAAAGACAAACAGCAATACAGATGTGGGATCAGCTTATTAGTTGCAACTGAATTCAGGCTTTGGACAGTGAAAAATATCCAAAGAGAGTTACATTGAGATTACAGCAGATTCTTGGTGAATGGTGATTATACAAATTCAAACTATCTAGTATTTGCCACTGATAACATAGAATTACTGAACATTTTTGCTTGGATGGAACAATAGTCAACAAAATTAATTTTAAGACTAAATGATAAAACCAGAGTAGAATAAACAGCAGAAGAATTAAAAGATGGGTATTAACAGTTTATATCGCATGGTCATCAGTGAAATAAATAACAATACACTCACTTTTGCAAATTGTAAATCTAGGTTCCTTTCTAGGCTGCCCAAAAATAATGCTTCAGTATGCCCAAGAAGAAAATAAAAGTATTATTAGTCATAATGGAGCACCCATTTTTAGTGTATACACATTTTTTTCCATTCCTGTGTGTGGGTATGTGGTTGGGGTGGCACTAAAAGCACATAAAATATCTGCCGGCATATGAACAATGGACCAATTAGAAGTAATAGCACTTAGAATAACGATGAGATACCTCCTTGAAGCCAAAAGGCTTCGTCCATGCTCAGTCAACTGCAAAAGCTGAAGAGAAGGCATTCCTTAAGATAAACCTCTCTCTCTATCAAAAAATTTCAGCAGCCCAAAATTCTTGGTTCCTGAAGAAACTGTTGTCCACCTAAGAATGGAAAATGATAGCTGGAAGTATATTTCAAGGCATTAGTTAACATACCAAACAGGCAAAGAGCAGCAACATCAGAAAAGAAGTACAGTAAGGTCAGGCATATTTTTGAGCAAATGTCAATTCATAGAATAAGATGGATAACATCAGGGCAACCTCAAATAGAATGGCGAACCACACTACCACAGAGGCATAAAAGCCACAATAACTATTTGGCACTTTCTATAATAAAGATGCAATACTTAAGTTACACAGGGAAAGTACAAATCTAAAATAATGAATTTATGAACTAACTGTTTCACCCTCTTAGTTTTCCAACAGTGTTATTCTGTGAAAGGAGAAATTTGACAATCAGCTGCATGCATAAAGGAAAACCACATTCTAATATAGCATAGTATTCCTCAATTTTCCATGTTTGAGAATTCTTATAAATATATGCCAAAATTACCTCAGACATAAAATCTACAGCCCTACAAAAGGTGTATGACAGTATGAGGTGTATGACAAATCATATTTCTCCAACAATTATCCCTTGTAAGCCAACTACCAAAAGTTTGAATGTGTACCTTCTCCATAACTTAGTCCGAATTAAGTGTTCCCAGACTACAGAGAAATATAAGAGCCAACTAAAAGGCGTTCCCTCATACACCTCCCACTTTAAGTGCAGATATCATCATGAAGGGCTAATCAAGGGAGTATCATACCAAATTAACAACCCAATTGGACATTTCACGGCATTTTAGTAGTACTGTAATAGATATTAATTGATGGCATACTCATAAATACTTCAAAAGAAAGTTTCACCTACTTTAAATTATTGTGTCAATCTGATAAAACACAGATATGAGTTCATCCAAAATCCAAGACAGATTCTACAAACTTACAGGTAAACCTAGGAGTCCCATACCCACATCAAAGCTCAGACAAGTAGAAGAAAATAAGATCACTAAGATGCTTCAGAATCACCAAATAGTCTTTTTAAAAGAAAAACATAAAGTAGTCCACATTCAGCTGCCGACAAATAAAAAAATCAATCTAATTTCACCCTTGTTAATCAAACCATCATCTATATCCAAAAATTATTCCATAATAGAAGTAAACAATCACTGAACAAAATAATTTCTATTAAAAAAAAAAAGGAAAAATTCTAATCTATCCCTCTGGAATTTTTGAAGAGATAACCAAACTTTACAATTATACACAGTTACACCACAAAAAGTTTACTCAATCATATAAAAAGCAGCACCTAGTACGCAAAGTTGCTTACATCCGATCGAAAACCAAAACGAAGTCGGTGAGCTGCAATTATTGATGGATAGCCATCGGTGGCGATGATATTCGAGTGAGAGCCATCCCGATCTCCGGACCAGAAGAGAGACGTTGTTGCTTAATGGTCAGAAACTCTGTCAAGCCCTAGAACTCCCTATCTATACAAATATGGAAGTGTCTTCATGAATATATTTAACAACCAATAATAAATAAAAAATTAATAATTACGAAATTCATGTCAAACGTCAATTTATTATTAATGAAACGAAGTGATATAGAACCGTACTCCGCTGCTTCAAACAAACTTCCTAGAACCCAGGAGACTGAAAAAGCACAGAGATGGCATGTACGCATATATTAACAATTAACATCAATTATTAATTCTTGGTATACTATACAATCCGGAGAAGATGACGATGAAACGGTAAAGAATTTTTCCCGATTTCCACTTTTTTTTTTTTTATATTTAGATAATGTTCAATATATAATTTTTTTTACATTTAGAAATTTTCCCGATTTCCACTTCTTTGCCCTGTATATATTTGATTCTTGTCAATACCTTACCATGTTATACAAATTTTTTTATAAGAGTTTATTTATTATGTTTAGTTTGCATATTGTTACACAAAAACAAAGTACACTATTTAATAATAGTTACGAGTTTTCCTCGCTACCTATTTCGCATCTAATATATACATGGTTGCAGTAGGCGCTAAGCGCTAGTCGGACGTCCGGATAGCGCCTAGCGTCTAGGCGGGGGCCTAGGCAGAATCTAGGCGGCGCTAGGTGAGCATCAAAAAAATAGTGCCAGACTTGCAGTTTGATAATTTTAATGATGTTGTTTTCAACATTCAATCAAATAACACATCCAAATAAATGAAATAATGAGATTCATAAGTCATAACATCAAAATAATATTAAAAAAAATAAAAATACTCAAATATGAAATACTCAAATACTTCAATCATCCAAAGATTCAAAGTATCAAACTAGTCTACGGACGACTGGATCAAATGACATCGGACGAAATCGGTCAAAATCGACCAACTCCGTCGAGTTGGCCGCCTAAGCCGATTTTGCCGCCTAGGCACCCGGCCGATTTTTTGACGCCTAATAGTAAAATTGGAACGGCCTATGGGCGCCTAGGCCGGCGCCTCCGATTTTTACAAAAGTGAATATATATAGAAAACAGATCAAATGAGAACGTGCGCCCATAAGAGAAGTAGGAACCCATTGAAATGGTTTATTTGGATAGACCTAACAAATTATAAACAATTTTTAAAAAATGCGATTACATATTTGTAAATAATTCAAACTTTGAATTGCAAGTAAAATTTGTTAAATGTGCAAGTAACAGTTTCATAAAGTGCACACGTAAGTGTAAGTAAAATGTATTAAAAGTAAAACAATATAATATACACCGAGCAACAATATTAAGTACACCTAACGTTATCATTAAATGCACTATAATTAAGTGCACAAATGTAAAAGGGTAAAGAAATAAGGTCCAAATTGGTCACTAAATGTAATCTGAAAATGCAATTAGGCCACTAAACGAAAAAAATGCAATTAAGCCACTGAACACCCAAATGTATACAATTTCATCGGATAGCAGGTTATCATCCATTTCATCAGGTTACCTGCTTACGTGGATGGTGAATTGGCATTTTTAATAATTTTTAATAATAAATTTTAAAAATAAAAAATAAAAACGTCAGAGCCCCTTCTACCATCTTCCTTTGTCTTCGCGCGGAGACGAAGAAGGGGGAAGGGGGTGGTGTGAGACGAAGGACATGTCTCACGCCACCCCCCTTTCCCCCCTTCCTTTGTATCCGGTTGGAGACAAAGAGATCTCTCTTTGTCTCCAACCAGAGACGAAGAGATTTCTCTTCATTGGAGACGAAGGAGGAGGGGGGCGTTCTCTTTTTATTATTATTATTATTATTAATTTTTTAATTTTTATTGTTATTTTTAAAGTTTATTATTAAAAATGACAATTCATCATCCACATAGGTAAGCTGATGAAATTTGTGGTAATTTGTTATCAGGTGAAAGTGTTCAGTAGTCTAATTGTATTTTTTTTTTGTTCATTAGGGGTTACATTCAGTGGCCAATTAGGTCTGTTATCAGGTGAAAGTGTGAAAGTGTTTAGTAGTCTAATTACATTTTTTTTTTGTTCATTAGGGGTTGCGTTCAGTGGCCAATTAGGTAATTCAGTGGTGGTCTTTTCTTTAGTGACATAATTACATTTTTAGGTTACGTTAAATTACTTGCACTATTAAGTGTAAGTGATTGCACTTTTGATAAAACGAGAAATGTCATTAAACCATACTAGGCATGATCAACCAACAATACATCAAACAAAGCAAGGATTTGAACAATATCCCATTCGATATGACTTGTCTACACTTGAGAAGAAATCTTTATACTATACAATTTAACTTCTTCTTAAAAGGCATTTGTATACATAGTAGTGCAAACCTCATTCCCAAACCAATGTGGGACAAATGCTTTTCCAAAACTTTTTCACCTATATTTTCAAACTCAAATGGGTATATTTTGAAAATCAAATTTTCATTCACTCATTATCCATTTTGAGCATACAATATCAATTTCTTCGCTTTACTACAAAAAGTGCGAATTCACTTTGACCCGACCAAAATTAAAAGTAAAATCACACATATATTTGTACCATAAAATAACCACTTAAATACATTTTTAAGCTAAAAATTCCAACATTACCTTCCACGTACCACTTGATATGAGGGAATCACACGGGTTGAGTTATCCAAGAGTGCATTGTTCGCCTTATAGAGTATGACTTTGTTCATCCGCTCGTATGTAGCCAGCATTATAGCCATCGCTTGCTTTCTTCTTCTGCTTAGTTCATATACTTATACTAAATCAATTTTAGAAATATACTCTATGCGTTTATCCATGCCTTGGGGTAGTCTCTCTCTCTCACACACACACACATGTGTATATATATATATATATATATATATATATATATATATATATATATATATCCAGGATCATGTGCGAAAGACTCTCCAGATGAAAAATATGGACAAATTTTAGCCATTAAAAATTTATCTAGATCTACTGCTTTAAAAAAAAAATACACTTCGAATTACACAAAAATTATGCACTTGAAAGCACAAAAACATTCACTTGAAGACCAAAAAAAAAAGGTGCACTTTTAATGTCAAAATTTTGCACCCATAGGGGCACAAATATGTGCAATCGAAGCAATTTATAGTACCAAAAAAAGAAGTTATTCAACTTAAGTGTTATTGAAGCAATTGCCCATACAAATCATTTGTAAATCTCACAAATTCTATTAAAAATTTTAGTTATAGATTATTGAAAAAGAAGACAAAACATATAATAAACACTTGTTCATAATTGTACACTTGACGACACAAAAATACGCATTTGAAGGCATAAAGTTGTGCACTTGAAGGTAAAAATTATGCACTCGAAGGCATAAATATGTTCAATCGAAGCAATTTATGGTAACAAAAAGAAAAGTTATTCAACTTAAGTGTTATTGAAGCAATTGCACATTCAAATCGTTTGTAAATCTCACAAATTTCATTAGAAATTTAGTTATAGATTATTGAAAAGAATGCAAAACATATAATAAATATTGGCTCATAAATATGCAGTTGAATGCACAAAAAAATGCACTTGAAGGCAATTTTTTGCACTCAAAGTTATAAAGATTTGCTCTCAAAGAGGAAAATAAATTCTGAGACAGAACATATGCACCCGAAGAAGGGAAAGTATGCACTCAAAGAAGTAAAATGTGCATTTGAAGAAGGAAAAATATGCATTCTAAGAAAAATAATATATAAACTTACCTATTCAAAATTACAACAATACCACCACGTGTTTTTTAATTCTTCTTCATTTTGGACTGTTGATTTGGACTAAAGCTATGGTTGCGATTAACCATATTTTGTAATATATATATATACACACACACACACACACACATTAAATTTGATTTAAAAATCATATTATAACTCGACTCATCACGGGATTCGATTCGTACCCCTAATGTGAGAGAGAATCTTTATGCTATACAATTCAAATTCTCTTAAATATGGATTTATATTTATACTAGTGCAAACCACATTTTAATTTATAATATGGACAAACGCTATTTTAAAGCCTTCCCATCACCATTTTTTCAAGTCCAATGAATTTATTTTGATAATCAATTTTTCATTCACTCATTCTCTGTTTTGAGCATACAATATATTGAGTTTTTCGTCTCACTTATATGAACTCAAATCTACTTTGAACTGACTCATGTTAGAAGTCGACCCTACATATATTTGTACAATTGTACTACAAAATAGTCACTTAAAAAGTCATTGTGTGCTAACCTTTTCAACGTAATAAGCCACAACGGGGGCAGCTGCCCCCACTCCTCCCCCCCCCCCCCTCCTCCCCCACCAGCCCATTTATATATATTGTATGTATGTATGTATGTATAGGTGCATTGTATATACATAGTTAACTTATAAATATTAAATTTACATAAATATAACCAAATGATGAGTTAGTTTAGATGGTAAGTTATTTGGTTTTTCTCTAAATGTTATGAGTTCAAATCTTACAATCATGAATTTATATTGAGATCAATTCAAATTGATTTTTTTTTTTTGTAACATTGTGTTTTTTAAATCTCATTTTTTAATAGTAATATTGCTTTATAATATGTTTTCTATTTGAACTATTTTATCTAATTAATTATATTTCATATTTTGTAAATTTTTATTTGTAACATTGTGTTTTTCTAATTAATTATATTTCATATTTTGTTTTGATTATTATTATCTCATTTTGATGTATTTTAATTTTTTATCCCAATTAACAATAATTATGACCCGATCTCTAAGTATTTTTTTTCAAAATATCTCATTAATTTTTAATCTTTCGTTCCTACTGGTAAAGACTTATAGATCCACTTCTACCTTTAAGTCAAATATATATATATATATATATATATATATATATATATATATTTAATCTTTTTACATTTATCAATTTGTTAAATAGTGAATTTTACCTAACACTCTTAATCTACATTAAGTAACTCCACTTAATATATTAACATGGTCTTGACGTAATGATGTCACTTGTAAAATTAATTAACTCAATATATTAACATGGTACGGTGTTGATGTCACTTGTAAAATTTAAATAAGCGCTAGCTACTTTGCTAGTTTTTATTTGCAGTGCTGTAACGCTACAACACTACCCACGTTGTCCAAATGGGAAAATTTAATAGTAATTAATGATCAATAAAATGGTCGTTGTCAATTTGCCATGTTCGCACTAGCTAGTAGCTACATTTTACTAGATTTATTTTATTTTTTAA